GAGAAATCACATATGTGTGAGGAGTGCGGCAGTGAATTTATCTCATTGGGAAACTTATCGACTCACATTCAACGGTATCACACTGGAGAGAGACCGCACCATTGTCAGCAGTGTGACAAAGGGTTTGTGACCCGAGGAGAATTAAAGAGTCATCAGAGGGTTCACACAGGAGAAAAACCCTACAGCTGCGGTGAGTGCGGGAAACGTTTTTCATGGCTTTCCAGTCTTGTCTGTCACCAGCGCATCCACACTGGGGTGAAACCGTTCAGCTGTGAGGAGTGTGGAAGGAGTTTCTCTCGACTATATTATTTAAAGGGCCACAAGAACATCCACACAAAAGAAATGATTTTCTCCTGTGAGCAGTGTGGTAAAGTTTTCTCTTCATCATCTAACCTTAGAAGGCATGTTGTTATGCACACTGGAGAGAAATCACACAGATGTGACCAGTGTGGGAAAACATTCACCTTGAGGCAATACCTGAGAATCCACACACGTATTCACACTGGAGAAAAACCATACCAGTGCAGACACTGCGACAAGACTTTTAGTTCACAGGGTCCCCGCACAGAACATGAACGCATCCACACTGGAACGAGACCGTACAGCTGTGAGGAGTGTGGGAAGTGTTTCACTCAATTAGGTCATCTAAAGTTTCACAGGAACATCCACACAAAAGAAATGCTTTTCTCCTGCGAGCAGTGCGGGAAGGTCTTCACTTCTTGTGGCGCATTTAATTATCATAAAAGGATCCACCGAAAGAAACAGCAATAATGTGCACTTTGCGGAAAAAATTCGAAAGGGTACAAAGTCACTGCTGTACTCTCACTGAAGATACAATCTGAAAGTGTAAAAACGCTGTAAACAAACCTTCATTGAGCAGTTGTGATGTCAACATACTTTGTCTTTTTTGTTTGCCTGTTTTAAAAATGTTTTTGTTGTTGGGTGTTTTATTTCATTAAAAAAAAAATTCCTAGCATTGGCATGGTTTAAAAAAAACCAAAAACATTTTTATTAATTTATGTTCTGTTATTTAAAACAGCCATTTCAATTCTTGGTTTCTATTTTAGTGTGTTGTTTTATGTATTTATTTATTTTGATACGAGATTTTAACCATTGGATGCCATTTTTTTTTCTCTTTAATTATTTTAACACGTTTTCCAAAACAAAAAAAGTAGAAAAGTCCAAACAACATTTTTAAGGATTTTAGATTCAAAAAAGAGGAAAAGGAAGTGAATTCTTCCTCATTCCTCTCTGTTTTATATAAAGAAACACGTCCTTCCAATTCATGTAATATAGTTCTATAAATATTGTTATACATTGATCAATAATTACTTAACTATAGCTTTCCAAAGTGTGAACTGAA